AAAGTTTGGCATTATATAATTTATACAAAATTCTCTATCCTATAGTCTAAACAAAAGTCAGTTACTCTATGAATTTTTATTTATAATCTACCATAAAATTGCACCATTTTCGTATGGTCAGCAAACGTCGTAAATTGACAGGACAATAAATTCTATTGTGGCATATGAGGGATACTAATTTTAAAAAATAAATATATTATAATATATACATACATATACAATAATAAATTAGTATTTCATTTATATACAATAAGTACTTACCTTAGTGATTCTTTGACCTTGTTAAGAGCATTAGCAAAATTATTTCTACTATCATGCACATCATTTGGCAATTGAGAATAGTTACTTTGATATTTATATTTATCATCATTTTGACTTTTGTTTGCATTCTCTTTTTCATTAATTAATTTTAATTCATTTTCTGAATCAAAAACATTATGTATGTTTTCAGTATTTTCAGTTTTTACAAAGATTTCATTAAGTACAGATGGCTTTAATAATGACACAATTCTATTTCTTTTTCTATACTGTATCTGATGATCCCTCAACTGCTGGGCTACATAACGGGTCTCATTTTCAATACTGACTTGCGTATTTCTTGCTTTGAGGCGCTGTTGATACAATTCTAATTCTCTGCGCAATCTATCAACTACTTGCTTCTGAAAGATAAAGGTTTAATAAATTTAATTAAAAAATATTATAACTGAAAATTTATTAAATATTTTTAAATTTACTTTTTGCAATAATAATAAAATATTTTGCTTTAATCTTGTCCCTCAGGAATCTAGTTTTAAAGGTATGCTTACTTGATTTTGTCCAATTGCAATTATTTCATTTTCTGCTTCCTTAACTTTTGACTTCAGGTGTATATTCTAAAAAAAATATATTTTAAGTTCACAATTAAGTGATAGTGCATCTTCTGAAATCATGTTAAAAAAGTAAAAAAGTAAAGTTAACAATTACGTACATTTTCGTCTTCTTGAAGACGCGCAACCCAAATCTGCAAGTTGAAAAAATATTTGGTAGTTGTTAAAACAGGTACTTCTCAATAATTTACAAAAATGGGTTTATAATATTTAAAAAAAATCATACTCAACACTAAGAATTTAAACAAACACTCACTTGATGAACTCTAATTGCATTTTTTAAGTCTGACTGAGTTTTGCGAATATCTTCCTTAATTTCATTAGACACTTCCATTCTCACAAATAAATTAATACCTACTATATTAATAAGATCTTATTTTCTAGCTAATTTAACTAATAGAACGTTCCTCAAATATTTATAATAATATAAGTGAAAAATAGGTAATTCATATTTTGCAATAAAAAATCCAACGAAAAACTCAACTTCTCTCACATCTCACAATCACAAACAGTGTAACAATTTCCGGTTTATAACAAGTACAAGTACTCTGTGGTAACAATGTAAAAAATTAAGGAAAGGAAAGGGAAGAGGAACTTGAATATAGTTAACAATTGCACGGAAATAGCACTTTAAATACTTTTTTCTCGGGAATGTTAAAAGATCGTCAATAAATAGCTAAATAATAATAAAATAAATTTATTTTATAATTCTCTTAGGTACAATATTTATTAACTTTTTCACTTAAATTTATTATCGATAAAAATATATAAAAATATATAGGATTGTAACATTAAGGGTGGGTACACGTAACTTCATGGTTGCACCGTAGTAGTAATTACATATTATAATTTAATATAATTAGTAGTTTATGGAAATGACTGTGTTATACTTATTGTCAAAGTCAAAATCTTGATAACTTCAAGTTAAAATTGGTCGTAAGATTTCAATACGACACACTAATTTAGATCATTATTATATTGAATTAAGACATGAATTATTTTAACGTTTTACGTATTGTGCCTTTGGGACGGCACGCAGCAGCTTACTCAAGTGTTACTACCTACTACTATGTATAAAAACACAAAACACCATGAAATAGCGTTTTTGGAAAATTTCACGCTTGAAATTAAAATATCAATATTTTAAAGGTACTACAAAAAATGAGGAGGTAAAAATAAAAAAAATACACTCAAACTGTTTGTTTTCTTTTTGTCTATGTACTAATTGTATATAAACTTGTACCAGTGTTTTATTGGTCTGCTCAAACCTACCTTATAAGTACCCACCTACTTATAATTTACTAAATACTTGCCTAATTTAAACTAATAACTTATGTACAGTAATGCATCAATCTTGAAGCATCACTATTCAATCTCTTCATATCAGTACCTATCTATCAAAATATAGTATTTGTAATTTGTATTTATAATATCTTTGGTATCTATAGAACACCTTTTTATTATCCATAGAACGATTGGTGAAATCTATACCCGATTTCACCAATCGTTCTATGGGCAACGAGCGATACGTGCGCTTTATAGCTTACTTATTTATACTCTAAGGTTTTACCAATAAGCTTCATGGGTCCTAAAAGTTACAGCCTATATACGTCCCACTGCTGGGCACAGGCCTCCCTTCATTTCTGAGAGGGTTTTAGGGCTAGGAAGTGTCGGCCGCGCTGCCCTAATGCGTGTTGGCGAACTTCACATGTCTTCGAAACATTTTTTTTTATTCCTAAGACATGCAGGTTTCCTCACGATGTTTTCCTTCGCTGCCCAGCACGTGGTATATCAGCACTTAAAATTGCAATTAACAATTTCATTGGTGCCGGCGGGGATCGAACCCGGGATACTCGCGTTCGGTTATATTTACAACGAGCGTTAACCACCTGAGCTACCACGACTCATGGGCCCTACTTAAAACTAAATTAAATTTATATAAATACATGGTTTTCTAGCACTTCTTATTACCTCATTATTTTGAGCTTCTAGTTCTGGGATAGAGGATCCTCTAGCCACCATAGTCTGGGGTCTGGTCTGGGCTTCTGTCACTGAGGTTTTTGGCGGGAACTTGACAGTCGACGAATTTTTGCTCCTGTTTTATTGTTTAATTAATGGTTTGAAGTGTATTTTGTCACGTAAAAGTGTATATTAAGTATCTGCGCATGTGATCTGTTAGAGAAAACGGCGAAACAAGTGCTTCTATGTTGATATAAACCTCAACTTATTTTGATCGCTTAGGCGCCTTATGGACTTGAGTGACTATCGTCATTAACTGTCCGCTTCGTTTAGATGTCGTTAAAATCTCCTAAAAACTTCGCAATGTGAAAAACGAAGATCCCAAATGAAATGAAAACATGACTTAAATTACAAACATCCAAGCCAAAAACTTTAATTAATAAAAAAATTGTCAATGATCTGATGCCAGATTGAAGGAAATCTCCCCAAATTAGGGTCTTTTATGATCATGTGGGGACAAATCAGGGAATACTTGGAAATTGGGAGATTTTTATTACCAAAACTGTAATCTGGAAAAAGCCCTGACGGTTAAAAATAACGGCAAAATCTCACAAGCGAAAGCTCAAAGCTGGGCGTGACGATAGCCTAATGGCCTCGAAGTTGGTTCAAGTTAATTAATACTTATAATTATCTCGCACACGTAACACATTGAGGAGTTCTGGGTTGAAGTATATAATTTCAAAAATGCAATCGGTAACAGAACTTACGGACACGTTATCAAATTGGCGTTAAAAATTTTGTCGTTGCCATTTTGTTTTGTTGTAGAAATAACCTTCTCCCTAGTGACTATTAAAGTAAACTTCGAAACAAATTGGTCATCCACACTATCAAATCCATCTTGAGAATAATATATACATTGCCATAGTTTTAAGAACTTACAATTGCGAAACACTTTTGGTGTCCGGCGATGCCACCGCCCGCGTAAGCATAAACGCGGCAACATGTATGCTAGGGGTTGTTACGAAAATGGAAAGAAAATTATTTTGCGTATTTTAATACCCTAATAAGTAATAAAATGCTAATGCATTTATTAACATTATGTAAATACTTATATGCTGAAAACGTTTATTGAACTAAAACATTTTTTATTTCTACAAGAAAAACACTTGATGCACTGCCAAATATTTTCGTGACATTTTCTTTTTATAGATGTTTTCAATTTTAAAACGAGTTAAATAAGTACTACAAAACACGGTCGCACCAACCGCAAGGATTGTCTATCAGACTCGGTGAAGTGTGATAACACAAGGTCAGTCCGCCCCTGCCCTGGAGTGCCCCCACCGTTGTTCTGCACAAGAACATACATTTCCAAACTGTAAGGTCTTTGAACTGTGACATTGTTGTTTTAAACCAAGATCAAATATGTTAAAGAGATTTAACTCAGGATAAATGTACGGAACTATAGACGAGGCGAATAAAGAAGCGGATCCAGCAATGGAAGCTATTGATGAAATAATATAAAATTATATTTAATTTATAAATAAACGTTCTGCTTTTTTCTTGATAACCTGAACTTTGAGGGGATTTCGGGGAAGGTTTGGAAAGAATGCGAGACGGTATTCTGAAAAGTGACAGTACTAGCTTGCTACATATTTTATTTATTTATCTATAGACATTGGCAACACTGGCTTGTGGCTTCTGACTTCTGAATCTGACTTTCTGTTGGCTTCTGTTTAGTACAGTAATAGCTTGCTACATATTTATTTATCTATGGTCAGTAATCTATGCTTCTGCTTCTGTAAATTCCATAGATTACTGACTATATACTAGAGATAATGTTCTAAGTTGCATGCCCAGTAAATTCTGAGAATATAGAATTACCTAAAATATAATATTTAAAAGTGAATAATAAGCTGTCTTATACAGAAATATCTATAAAGCCCTCAGATAAATGTATTCCAAGGAGTATACCATTCTCTAACTAAAGACATATGCAGTGAAAATCCAAATTTTGTATTGTGATAACCTTTGAATAAATTTATCATGTGTTACCAATATTGATTTTTTATACTTTCCAATTTCTATATTGACTTATTGTACTTTTTTAATTAAAATTGCTGTTATAGTCTATATTTAGATCTAACTAGATCAAGCTAATATATATTTAAAAGCGTTATGTCAGTAAAAAGGAGGGCTACAACAGATCTTAATCATGAAAATTGGGATCAAGAAGAAAAGGATGAGGAAGAAATGGGCACTTTTAAAGTTGCACCTGAAGACGTTCTAGAAAAGCGAGTTATAAAAATCGCCAAACGAAGATCCCAAAATGCAGATGGGGCAAGTGTTTTCTATTATATAAAATAAACAGATAAATATTAAACAATAATATTAAAGTTTAGTCATTTAATCAAACCTGTTGACTGTGTTTCGACAATATGTCGCTTAATGGTTTCTTATATTTATTTGAATTACACATGGATTAAAACTAATTTTATGGATTTTATCATGTTTAATATTAACTTTTTTAATTTCCAACATTTCGGGCTCGTTCTAATGCCCACGATCTCGAGGAAGACTGAGGTGTTTGACATTGAAGGTTGCCTTCAACTTTTGTGAATAACAACAAGATTACAGTATCAAGTCATACAGTAGTATGCTTAGGTTTGGAGTTAATGTTAATAATTATGTGATTGCAAGGAGATGGTAGCACCCAGCCATCTTCTCTATTGAAATTAGGATGTTTTATAAATTTAATAGCCTTGTGAATTATTTTTGTTAGGAATTGGTCTCTTACGAGGATGTGTGGTTATCAAATCTGACATAATGTTTGGGGAGATCCTGAACATGTTGACATACTTCAGACTTCCTGGAGCATTTCAAATATGTTGCTTTTTATCAATTAATATATAATAAAAATGTTGGAAATAAAAATCATACCAAGTAAAATTAACATATCCTTACGCAAGTGGTATGGCATGGCAAAGGCTTTTCATAAGCAAGTGCACTATACCTCAAACTATTACTACATGAATCACCACCGTAAGGGATTATGACATTGATTTATAATTAAAAAAATGTGTAACTCTCTTAGTGAAATGGTATAATTTGTCATCAGTTAATTAGCTTGAGCAATTGCATATGGTTATGGAAATCCTTCACAACGACCGCAATGCACCAATTTGCTAGTTAAATATAGAGTGGCCACCCAGATGGAGTGAAAACATGCTGAAACATGCAGGTGGCTCAAAACCATGTTTTGTAGCATTCTATCTTCAGCAGTCTATGTTCAGCAGTGGTCTTGTAAAGGGTTGAAATGATGATAATAATTCATCTACTAAAACTATTTTAACTGAATTTAATTTGAAATTAAATAATTATCTTAACCCATTCACCTTCAAATATACTACCTATAGTTTATTGCTATTGTCTTACAATCATGTCTGAAAATTGGACAGAGAAAGTGTTAGAACACATTTGATAGGCTATTGATAATGTTACAAATTTTATTACTATTATGTCAAAAAGAAATTCAGAACTACATACACAACAACTATATATATATTGGCGTTCTAAAAGTTTGTCTCAAGTCACATGATCTCATAAAATCTCATATCTCTGTCGTACTAAAAAGTTCTTTGATTGTGCTATCATCACTGAGTTTTATTTTAAACAAAATGTTTGCTCCGCTATGTATTTGAAGCTGTAAGATAATTTTGGCATTTTTAAGGTGATGAATTATTTTAGACCACTTTCACACAGCTAACTTTATTTATTGGAATTTATTGTGAATTTTCTGTTATTTATAAGAATGTATTCTATGATTCAACAAGTATAATATTATGTATTTTTTCTTTCAGACTAAAAAAGCAGTCTTTAGTGGATTTGGTGGTTTCAATAAGACACAGCCCTCATCTTTTGATTTCTTGGCTAATTTAACTAATGGCAGCAAAACCAATACTACCTCTGCAACCACAACTGATAGTGTACCACCATCCACTAATATTACTAGTAAACCATTTGGAAGTATGTCAAGTAGTAACATTTTTACATCACCGGCGTCTTCAGTTCCTGCTAAGCCATCATTTGGAAAGCCAACAACAGAATCATCATCATCAGTTTTTGGGGTTCCCACTTCAAGTATAGCTCAATCAATTTTTACTGCATCTAAGGCTGATTCTACTGTAAATGATAACCCATTTAAAACACAAGTAACTACCAATAGTTTCAATTCTAAACAACCAGAAGTGTCAAGCTCCCAAGTGTCATCTACAATATTTGGTACAGCTTCAAGTTCTAGTAACAATAAGTCTTTATTTGCGCCTAGTAGTTCAACAGCATTTCAAATACAACCAGTCTCAAGTGCTTCGTCACAATTAACAAATACAGCTGTGGATGCTAAAACTGAGAATACAAAGGAAAGTAATACTAATTCAGAAAAGATTGAGGGCAAAAAATTAACTTACTACAGTAAATTAAAGGGTCTAAATGAATCTGTATCTGAGTGGATCAAAAAGCATGTGGATGAAACACCATTGTGTATACTAACACCAATATTCAAAGATTATGAAAAGTATTTAAAAGAAATTCAAGATGAGTATAATAACAAAAAAGAAGAAGAAAAAAATAGTAACAACAATGATTCAAAGAAAACAGAAAATCAAGCAGCACCTATAAAAAGTAATACAACACCTACCAACAATATGTTAGGCTCACCTTCATTCACTACTGCATCTTCTAATACACCAAAATCAATTTTTGCTGTAAAAAGCACTCAATCAGGAAATTTTTCTTTTGGTTTTACATCATCCGCAAGTACTAACACTAGTGCTGGATTTTCATTTTTAAACTCAACCCAAAGCACTGCCACAACCACATCCCCATTTGCTGGAAGCAATTCAGCAGCAAACACAAATGATAAACCTGCATTTTCATTTGGAACTGACAAACCTTTTAATTTCAACTCCAATATACAGGTAAAAGAAAATACAGATAAGCCTAGTGAAAACAATGAAGAAGAAGATGAACCACCAAAGGTGGAATTCACACCAGTTGTGGAAGAAAATAGTGTATTTGATAAACGTTGCAAAATATTTGTTAAGAAGGATGGCAACTTTGTGGATAAAGGTGTTGGTACACTCTACATAAAAAAAATTGAAGACAGTGAAAAACACCAGCTATTAGTGCGGGCCAACACAAATTTGGGAAATGTTTTACTTAATATGGTACTAAGTTCTGCCATCCCAATTCAGCGTATGGGTAAAAATAATGTTATGTTGGTTTGTATTCCAAGTCCAGAAGCTAAACCACCACCTGTTCCAATACTTATAAGGGTAAAAACTTCAGAGGAAGCCGATGATTTATTAAACACATTGAATAAGTATAAACAGTGAACTGTTTTCCAAATTTATGTACATAAGCAATATGTAAATGTAATATTTCATAAAGAAGTTTTAGCTGTAGTACATTGCAATTGTATTATGCTATATTTTTCAGTTATTTGTTTATCAGTATCACATTCCCAGGTTACTACAACATAATTTAATATTTTTCTGAACGCAGTGATTAAATACATTGTAATTTTAATTGTTGTTTTTTATTGCAATGTAGTGGTATGAAGAATTTGATTAAATTAAAATAATAAGTAATTACTAGCTTTTTTATAGGATGGGGTAACAAACGAGCACACAGTAGGGATGTCTATTCTTTCCGAAAAGGATCGATTTTTAAATCAATTTGAATCGAAATCTGATGAATTGATTCAAAAAAATCGGGGTCTAAAAGATGGATTTCTCAAAAATCAATCTTTTTTCGATTTGCTTTCTGATTCATACAAAGTAGAGTACAAACGTAATTTATTCTTATTTCTTTAATCCATTAAGAAGAGGCGAAAGTAACTAAGCACACATCAGTTTTGCTAGTTTATGAATGGAGAAAACTGTCGTTCTTTATGAGTATGAGTAAATTCTAATTTATAAATTATATAACTTACTTAAAAACTAATTGTAAATTATAGTTCTTATGAAAACAAAAAAATTCGACCTTAGTTTAGGTTTAGTTTAGTTTACGACGGGCTGTTTTCCGCAACTCCACGTCTAAGCGCGTATTTTGCGTGTGGGCAGGAATAATATGCTTATTCGAGCCATGATATCTCCCCGAAGAAGCTCAGCAGTCCCTTTATGTTGCAAGCAACTTCGGGGGAGCGATCCCGGCGTGCCGAGATGTTTAGCCCTGTATGAAGCAACTTCTGGACATGTCAGCAACACGTGAGCCGCCGTTTCTTCCTCTCCCATGCATGCCCTGCACAGGGGGCTGCCAGTAACACCTATGGTGAACAAAAAGAGCCATGTCCTGTGATAGCACTTGTTACTATCCTGATCTGTGGCTTGTTCAGTCTCATTAGAACCTTGGTTAGACGACTATTTCAGGTAGGGCCTCCCTAGCTTGTCTACAGTCTACTAAATTTTTCCAAAGCTGAGCGTGTAAATTATTGAAGTATCTACGTACCAGTGAACGAAAGTAGCCAAAGGGGATTGGTATTATTGGTTCCGGCCCTATAGTTGCTAGGGCCGATCCCCTTCTGGCCAGTTCATCTGCTGCATCGTTGCTTCTAGATCCACTGTGTCCCTTGATCCATTGCAGTGTCACATTGTTGTACTTACATACCTCATTCAATCGTTGATGGCACTGGTGTATCAGTCCCGAGTTCGTCACATTGCAACTCAGAGCTTGTAGTATCGCCATACTGTCGGTCAGTATTCTGATGGAGAAGTCTTTCACCTTCCTAGCATCTATTGCTATGGCCGCTTGGATGATACCCATGCATTCAGCCTGGAAGACTGTGTTGTGGGTACCCAGCAGTGTGCATATGTGGATATTAAGGTCTTCAGAGAAAGCCCCAGACCCCACCTCCATTTGTCTTAGAGCCATCCGTGAAAACTTTGAGCTCTCTTGGACCCAATCCTTCCAGATGGTTAGTTTCCTTCAATTGTATCCTGTACTTCTAATCGAATACAAATTGTTTTGGGATCCTATCATACTTGGCTTGTAAGATAGGAATTTTTGAGTAAATTCTATAGATTATATCTGTATGGGGGACTCTACTCTTACTTAAAAGAATTGGGGTCTTGAGTCTAATGGCAGCTAAAGTCGTTCTTGTTGTATATGTAGATGAAGCGGTGTTAGCTCCAGCATAGCCTCCAAAGCTGCTGTTGGTGTTTTCGACCGTTACAATTCGACTTTATTTTCTAGGGTGAGATATTGATTTACTGGATCGATTCAGTACTATATATCGATCTTTTTGGCACAAAAATCGATCTCAGATCGACATGCCTAGCACACAGTCCACCTGATGGTAAGTGGTTTCTGTGGTCCATAGACGTCTACATCTATCCTCGATTACAAATCAAAATGCAGATGCATTGTCACCCATGAGGACTATGATGGCATGCCTAGTTCAGCCTAGCATCTCTAGTTCTCTACTCACTACAGACACAAAACACAGCAGCTAGCATTAAGCTACTATTTTATGCTGGTATTCTGTGAGAGTGTGATCCTTAACCGGGCGAGCCAACCCAATCTTACAACTAAACTACTAATATAACTGCAGCATGGCTCTACCACGTACAAAGCTATCCACCCTATTTATCATTCAAAGGAAGACAGAATAAATGATGTTATCAGTGGCGTAGCTACCTTGGGTGGCACCCGGTGCGGAAGTTGGTGGTGTCACCCCATCGAAAGTAAAAAGCAATAAATTTTATATGATAAAGGACATGGATCATTTATTATTTATAATATTGAAGAAATAACAAAACACAATAACAACTAAGACAGAAAAGGAATTTTTATACAATTAAAATTTCTTTTTTTCTAGCTGTGACAGCTGCAAACTCAGCAATAACTTCGTCGAAATTTATATTTTGTATTGCCTCGTGTTCGATGGCTAATATACCAAGATCACCAAGCCTGTTCTTGTTGCCCGCAAATAGTTGTATTTTTATTTTAATTTACTGAAACTCCTCTCACATGAAGCTACGGACACGCAAACCGTCATGAACAACGGTTGCAATTGAGACGTCAAAGATCGCGAGTATGGGATGGGGAATCCCCCACGACAGCGTCGGGCTCTTTTGCGGGAATCCTCGAATTATACATAGAGCTGAGCTAGTGCTAGTGGAGGAATCCCCGAAAAAGAAATTTTTGTGCTAGCGATTTTTTTTTGTTTGTACATTTTTTTTAAAGGTGGGAAACCGGGTGGGTGTCACCCCCAAAAAGGTGACACCCGGTGCGCCGGTATTCCTCAGACATGCAGGTTTCCTCACTATGTTTTCCTTCACCGCCGAGCACCTTGTCCTTGTCACCTTTATGCCATAAAAAAATCATTTGAGTATATTAAAATATATTAAAACAATAATTGTCATACAAGTTAGTTTTATAGAATATTTCTTCCTATAGCTTTTAAGCTTTCCAAGATACAGACAAATTTTTAAAATTCATTAAGATAAAAGCTATGAATTTGAACAACCATTTTGACATTTAAGAAAAAGGTGATATTTACATTTGTAAAAGAACACAATTCATAGTACTGTTGTTTATAAATCCATTAAATAATAACAAATACACTTTTAATAAAATAATCTAAAATTGAATAAATTATGTGCCAGCAACATAACTATTAGATGACATTTGCCCTAAGCCCATTTGAATCCTCTGCATGTGAATCTCTATGTTATTTTGAAATAATCTCTGGTGCTGAGGCTCTAGCTTCATTTTAATCTGGTCCATAGTACCTTGTAAAACACTTAATTCATAAGCATTTTGGTCAGAATCAGACAAACTTTTTACTTGCAACATTAAAGCAGTTAAATCGGTAATGAGATCAATGATGTTTGCATCTTTTAAATAACCATTATTATTTTTTTCTACAAGCATTGCTGCTTCTTCTCGACATTTTTCTCTCAGGTGAGATGGTGCTAGCATAGCAGCTAAACTAGGACCAGGTGCAATTTGTTGACAGTACTGCTGCACTTGATTTATATATTCCTGTAAATCCATATTCATTCTCTCCAGATCAATAACGACTGCAGCATATTTTCTTTCAAAATCTTCAGGCAATTTCTGACCAAAAGGTTTTCTTTTCTCAGCTTCACTATTGTATTCTTTAAGCCTATTTATTTTATTTTTTTTAGCCTGCAATATCTTTGCTAGTTTTACTATTAATTCCAGTAGCGCAAAGGGAAAACTGCCAATATGAGAGTCCATGTGTTTAGATATATCACTACAGCCAATCATAGGATCACCTTGACTATTAATATTAGCGGGTACAGAAGGTTGATATAAATTAAAAATTTCTTGCATAACATATCTAGGCCTAAACTTTTGTGTTACAGACGAAAGATTTATTGTATCAGGTGGTTCATTTGACAACACTTCATAATCTGGGACAGAATGTGTTCCCAATTTAGGTCTCTCAAAAGTTATTCTATAAGTATTATTAGATGTATCTACAGCATCAATACAGCCTGTAAATAATCCATCTTGAGGCTTGCGCAATCTTGCAGTAACCTTAGTACCAACTACCAATTGCATAGGAATTTCATTTGGTAGATCTTTAACACAAATATCCGCTGTTTTCCTTTGTTGTATATATCTTATTAATTTCCTTTTTCTTTCAAGTTCTTTACGCTCTTCTGCAAAAAATGCTTGAGAACATCTTCTAGGTTTCCCCATCATTCGACGTATTTTTGCCCATTGAACACGAGTGAGCTTGCGATTTGTTAATTGTGGAAAAGATTCTTTAAGGCAAATCATAAAATCATTTTCTCCATCAAACAGGGCTTTATCTATATTACTATAAAAATATTCAAAACAAACCCACTTATGTGCTTTAGGTAATTTTAATAAATTTCTTAGTCTCACACCTATTCTATGGCCACTTTTTCGATCTGGTGACTGACTTCCAGGTGTTGTAGGTTTTTCTTCAAATCTATCAACATTTTTCTGGTTTTTGATTGGTGTCTTTTGCTTTTTAGCACTTGGTGGTTTATTCGGAGTTTTGGACAGCACTTTAGGTGCCCGCCGAGGTGGAGACGTATTCACAAAGTCATCAACAAAAATAAATCTGTTTTTCTTTCTTATACGGGCGGGCATACCCCGAGCATTAAGTTTTTGTACTGGTTCGCTAGGCGCAGGTTTTGGCGGTAACTTTGTGCCAACTCTATGTAGACCAAGTGCGGCAGGTCCGAAAGCAGGTGGAGAATTATCTTCTTCCGGAAAGTCTGTATCCATTGGTTCATTTTTGACCGTATACTGTACTCTCGTTGAATTTTTTCCATCATCGCGACTACCTTGAAGATAAAAGAATTCGTATTTTTAGAAAGCCCTTTTCAAG